GAGCAGCCGTCCAGAAGCCGGCGACTGATCTGCGTCGCCTGGGAAGAGCGCAATGATGGTGCCAACTTGGGCCAGTGAAGCAACGTCTTCCACGGCTGGACTGAGGAACAAAAGGACAGCGACTTGTCTGTTCCCCTCCCCCCAATTCCCCAGCTCTGTTCCCATCCCCCCAATTAAAAAAAAACCAAAATCTTAAAAAAAAAAAAACATGCATAGTGAGAGATGAGCAATGTGAACTGAAAAACTAAGATGACTGCCCTGACTCTTTTGGTGGTCAATATTTCTGGAACTTTCCAGGCTGCCCAACCACAAGGCCCTCAGGCACCTCCCAGGTCCACGCTGAGACCATGAACTTAAGGGGCCTGGCATAGTGCTTTGTACCTAGAGGGTACTCTATAAACATGCCACCCTTCTCCTAAACTAACTGGTGATTGATCCCTTTCTTCCTGGTTGGAGATTTTTTCTTGTCTCTCTAAAGAAGCTACCATCTCACAAGGAGGCAGGTTAGGGATGTTCATTGCAACACTGTTTGTAATAGAGAAAAACAGAAAGCAACCTATATGTCCATTAGAATGGATACACAGTGATACAGGCACCCAATAGAATGGAGGGGGGGCGGGGATTGCTAAAAACCTGTATACACATGACTTATATCCTTTTGTTATTGGTACATATTGAGCATCACAACTTTCATATAGGTTTCTTCTTTCTTAAAATGTGTATACATTTTTTGGCACCCTCTGAATATATGAAGAAGAGTGAACTTGTATCAACAAGACTGAATCTTGAGCATAATACCTAGAGCAAAAAGCAAGTTGCCAAAAGATACATGCAATTTGATAACATTTATGTCAGTGTTGCAATGAGATGACATATGGTTTTTGGAAGCATCACTATGTAACAAAACAAAATCACCAATGGACGAGAAGGATGCATAGTAACTGTAGTATCCCCATTACTTCTGGGGAGGGAATGAGGAAGGGAAATTGGGTGGAAGGGAGGCCTCAACTGTGTCTGCGATGTTTTCACTTTATTTGAAAAGAAGGATCTGCAAATGGGTGAACGGCTCAACAGAATGTGGAGTATCCAAGCCATAGAATGCCACTCGGCACAAAGGACCGGACCCCGAACACACACAACAAGCAGCCTACATGGATCCCAAGGGCATTAGGCTGAGTGGGGAGAAAAAGCCAACTGTGAAAAGTTATACAGCGTATGATGCCATTTATGTAACATTCTTGAAGTGACAGAATTATAAAGAAGAATAGATCCGTGGCCGTTAGGGGTTAGAGAAGACGGGAGAGGCATGGGATAGCATGAGGGTGTTTCTTTAGGGTGAGAACCACCTGTATCTTGAATGTGGTGGTGTTTACACAAGTTTATATATGTCATAAAATGTCATAGAATGATAACAGACATACAAGGACATGAAGGAGGGGGGAGGAAGGAAAGGAAGAAGGAAAGGAAAAAGAAAGGAAAAAGGAAAAAGAAGACATGGAAAAAGGGGTGCCATCCAGGTGACGTCTGCGGACCAGGTAATTTTACTATGCAAATATTGATTTCCTGGTTTTGGTAATCTACTGCCGGTAAGTAAGATGCCCCCATTGGGTGAAGCTGGATGCTGGGTCGATGGGACCTCACTGTACTGTTTTTGCAAATTTGTGGGTCTGTAATTCACTTAAATAAAAAAGGGAAAAAAGAAAAATGTTCTGATGTAAATACGACTGACGG